AGGGAGAAGCAGGCTCCACGCTGAGCAGGGAGCCCAACGCAGGGCTTGATCCCAGGACCCTGGGATCATGACCCAAGCCGAAGGTAGATGCTTAGCAGACTGAGCCAGCCAGATGCCCCTAATGTTTCATTTTTTGCTTATTGCGCAGAGATCATAATGGGTATGATTAGAATAGCTAACTTGTTGGGCACTTCTAACAACTGGGAGAAGTTCCAATGCTTTGCATGTACTAATTCACTTATTTTTCATAACAATGCTATTATTATTATTCGCCTTTTAAAAATGAAGAGACAGGCAGAGACTATTGAATAAATGACCTGTTGGCACAGTCAACAGAGGGCAGGACAGGATCAAACTTGAGCAGCTAGGTTTAAAACCTAGCTCTAGCACTCTCTGACTGGATAACCTTGGGCAAAGTATTTAACTGCTCTGTGCCTCTGTTTTCTTACCTGTCCAAATAGGGTTCTCGGTATGCACCTCCTAAAGTTTTTGTGAATATTAAAAGAGATATGCTATGTAAAATGCTTGAAATAGCACCCGGCATGTTGTAAATCCTCAACATATTACAGATTAAAGTTGTCTTTTTCCTATTATAGGTGGCTGTGCAACATGAAAAATGCAGCAAGTTATCAAAAGGGCAAAAGGGGATTTTAAGGTATTCTTTTTTTCACCTGCCTGCCGTTTTCACTACTTCAGTTCTGTCATTCAGTTGAACAAAAATGAAGAGTTTCTGTAAAAGCCATTGGTTAAACTTATAACTAACACTAATTTGCTGTCTTTTGAACCCAGAGAGTCCCTGGGGGATGGTTATTTGGTCTCTGTTGCTTTAAAAAGGTTCAAGTCGTCACTATCCAATATGGTAGCCGTCAGGTATGTGTGATAGATAACTGAGCACTTGAAATATGGCTAGTGCTAATTGGGATGTGCTGTAAGTGTAAGACACACAATGGATTTCAAAGACTAGTATGAAAAAAAGGAATGTAAAATGTCTCAGTAATTCTTATGTTGATTGCAGGTTGAATTGGTAATATTTTGGATATATTGGGTTAAATAAAATATAGTGTTAAGATTGAGCTCACTTGCTGCTTCTTACATTCTTACATTTTTTAATGTGGCTACTAGAAATGTTTAAATTACACTATGGAACTTGCATTATATTTCTGTTGGATGGCACTGGTCTTAATGGAAGCTCTGTGTTCACTCCCTGGATTTGCCTCCAGGGACATTCACAAGTCACTCTTGCTCCTGAGGCCTCCAGAGGCATCTTACAATGGAGAGAAGCAGGAAGTTGGGAATTAGGAGGCCTGAGTGCCAGGTCTAACCCTGCCCTTGACTTTCTGGGTGTCCTTCAGCAGTTCAGATAACTCCTTGAGAGGCAGAATAGAATAACACGGTGGTTCTCAAATTTGGGTCATACCAAAATCACTTTAGGGAACTTGGTAAAAAATGGAGAGACTATAAAGACCTAGGAGTTTTACTCTATCAATGAGCCTGGCCTTTTGTGTTCTTTATTAGCTTTCTGGGTGATTCTGAGGCTGTTCTGATCACCTCCTACTCACCCTGTGTAGGAAGGAGAATGCTTGTTCTTAGTAGTGTGAGGTGGCTGAATGCAGGACACCTGACACTGGGCAGGGTGTGATTGGCAGCAGCTTACCCACAGCCCGTGGGAGGAGGACACTATATGCCATGCAGGGCCGTGTGGGGGTTGCACCTAGGAATAGACTAAACCAGCAGGGACTATGGTAGGTGGGTTTTATAGGGACAAGAAAGTACAGTGACCCTTGTCTCCCGAAAGAAGATGTGATTAGCTTGTCTGAATAATTTCACAGGCTGGCAGGGAGGTAAAGCCTGTTAGGTTGAGGACTGAGTGGGGTGCAGCTGGTCCAGTTGGTAGGGTGAATTTTGTCGGGTCTTAAGTTACAAAGGTGATCAAGTGGCAACATGGAGAGGTTCACGCCATTGAGAAAGAAGGTTTTTAACACTTAATGGTTCCCCCAGAATCGAGAGGCATAGCCTGCTATACAGGACCACATGAAGCCTATCACATGCAGGGTTGGGAAGCAGAGAGAGGAACTGGGGTATGCCTTTATGACTAGAGTGGCAGGAAGTAACTAGGTGGAGACACCTGTATTGGGTCCTCGTGAAAAGAGGCAGGTTGGGGTCAGTGGTCAGGGGAATTATGACTCTTGAGTGCTCTCAGGAAGCTGGCTTTGGTTGACAGACTGGCTTTGTGATTGAGCAGACTCATGGAGAGGTTGGAATAACACATGTCAAAGAGCCAGTAATTGAATCGAAAACCCTGGTTCATATGCAGAGGAAGTAGCTGGGTGGGGAGCCTTTCAACCCCAGGGTCAAGGCCGTATCTGGAGAGAGCAGAGGAACTCATGGCTAGGCCTTTGGGCCTGTGTGGCTCAACCATGTTCAGGCAGCACGTGGAATTTCAGGCCTTACAATAATGATGAGCACAAGAGTTGACAACCACTGAGTATAGGACAAGGGCTTGGGCCTGGGCGCCATATTGCCTAGGTTCATTAGTGCCTGGTGCAGTGTCCTGACTGGACAATGAGATTGTGGCCAGGGGCAGCGGGAGGGGTGTAGAAATGCACATGTCAGCCACCCACCTCCACAGACCTGATTTGATTAGTTGTGGTTGAGGTCTGAGCACCCCCCCCTTTTTTTTTTTTAAAGTTCCCTTGTGAGTCTAATGTGCTGTCCGAGTTGAGAACTACGGTCCTAGTAGATAAGGCTCTGGGTGAAAATCTTGACTTTTCTATTGGCCACTGGTTGATCATGAACCGAGCTACTTCTCTGTGCTCCATTTTCTTTACCTGTAAAATGGGGATGATTGTTGTCTCAGTCTCTAGACTTGTGAAGATCAAGTAAGATAGCACATGTACAACATTCATGGAAATGGTGCCATGGTAGGTACTAAGTCAGTTGTTACAATTGTCAGCTGCTGAACTATTAATCGAAGTATTTTCTGAATGGCCTGGGTTTTCTTGTGGGGAAAATTAGGTGCTTAGAGTTGCTCTTGGTATTCTTGCTGATCCTAACAAACCTTGATTCTAATACCATTTTTAGAACCAGAGATAAAGAGAAGATTGCAATGTATTTACTTTCTCTAACTTCTTTGTTCTGTTGTGGGTAGAAGAGTTGAAGGTGAAAACCTCAAGTCTTTAGTCCGTCTGAGAATACCTGGAGAGTTGTTTTGACTGATGCTACTCACATAGTGACCCAGAAACCAACAGCGTCAGCATCATCTGGGATATTGTTAAAAATGTAGATTCTTAGTCTCCATCCTTGATGTTCTGATTTAGAATTTCTGGGGGTGAGACACAGGTGTCTGTACCTTTCCAGGGTCCCCAGTTGATTCATGGAACATTAAAATTTGAGAAGCACTGGTAGAACAGACTTGTGGCTTTTTAAAAAAATACTTTCTGTTTCTCTCTGGCTGAATTCCACATCCTTCCAATACCAGATATCTGCATGACGTGCTCTCCCTTGGTTCAGGTCTCTGGTCAAATGTGGGAGAAGCCTCCATGACAAAAACTTATTCTGCAACAGCCACTCCTTCCATTTCTTCTTATCTCTTTACCCTGCCTTATTGTTCTTCCTTTCTTTCTTTTTTTTTTAGAGAGAGAGCGAGCTCAGGAGCGGAGGGGCAGAGGGAAAGGGAGAGAGAGAAACCCAGGCAGGCTCTACGCCCAGTGCAGAGCCCAACATGGGGCTTGATCTCATGACCCTGAGATCATGAGCTGAAATCAGGAGTCGGATGCTTAACCGACTGAGCCACCCAGGTGCCCTGACCCTGCCTTCTTGTTCTTGAAAGTACCTCTCACTGTATTATCCGTTTGCTATTGTCCTTGTCCCCGTTATAATATCAGCCGCATGAGATCATGGGCCTAGCTGCTTCATTCACTGCCGTGTCTTTCATGTCTCGGATCCTTGGCTGGCATATAGAGTAGGCTCCCAATAATTATATGTTGAGCAAATGATTCAGGAGTTAAACAATAAAGCTCTGATCTGTATCTGTCAGCTGTTCATTACAGCAGTCATTCTGCAGGTCTTTGCTGATTCCTACCAAGTGCTCACAGAAAGTGTCTTCTTTTGTCTTGCTGCTTTTTAAATTTTTTTCTTTTTCACTACATTTTTGCCATTTTAATTACAATATGTCTTGGTGTGGATCTGCTTTTGTTGATTTTGTTGGGGGTTCTCTGTGCCTCCTAGATCTAGATATCTGTTTCCTTCCCAGATTAGGGAAGTTTTCAGCTACTATTTATCAAGATAACTTTTCTGCCCCCTTTTCTCTCTTCTTTTTCTGGGATCCCTATACTATGAATGTTACTATGTTTGATGGAGTCACTGAATTCCCTGTCTGTTCTTGTTTTGCAGAATTCTTTTTTTCTCTCTTTTGTCCAGCTTGATTACTTTCCATTACTGTGTCTTCTAGGTCATTAATTCATTTCCCTGCTTCTTCGAGCCTGCTGTTCATTCCATTGAGTGTGTTTCTCATTTTGTTTATTGAGCCCTTTATCTCTGTTGTTATTTTATTTCTGTGTTAATGGCCTTACTGATGTCCTCCACTCTTTTCTCAAGTCCAGTGAGTATCTTTGTGGCCATTACTTTAAATTCCCAACCGGGCATGTTAGTTAGATCTATTTCACTGAGATCTCTGGCCGTGGCCTTGTCCTGTTCTTTCATTTGGGACAAATTCGTCCGTCTTCTCATTTTGTCTAAGTCTGTGCCTGCTTCTCTGTGTTTGGAAAGTCAGCAACATCTCCTTTTCTGACGGTAATGGCCTTGTGAAGAGGTCCTGTGGTGTCCTGCCGTGTAGTGTCCTGTTCCCCAGCGCGTGGTGCTTCAGGGAGTGTCTCCTGTGTGTGCTGTGTGTGCTCTGCTTGGTGTCAGCAGGTGTCAGTGCCTCACTGGTTCCTACAGGTGGCTCTGTGTATGCTGAGGGGCGGGGGAGGGCAATGGCTATGGCAATGGCTCTTTCCGAGCCCATGGCTACGGGGATTCGTTTTCCCCCTGTGCTCCCTGTGTGTTAATCTGTCTCTCACACTTCTCCACAACCATGGCTCCCTCTTCCCCACTGAGGCCACACTCTGTTTCTCTCCGAAACCGAATCTCCACACTTCTGACCTCATCGGGGGGGGGGTCTCTTCTCTACCTTTACTTGTGGAGTTTGCGCTGTTCGACGGGTTGTGTTCAGGTTGATTTCTGGGGTATTTAGGATGATTTCATAGTTATCCAGTTGTATTCGTGGGAGGAGGCGAGCTTAGGGTCCTCCTACTCTTGCCACTATCTTCCCCTGTCTCCAAGAAGGAAGTGATTCTTGATGTCACCCTCCTAACAGTCCTCTCTGACCCCAGCCACTTCCCCCTCAAATCTCTCTGCTGAGAGAGTACTCTGTTTCCAAGACAAAAGGGATCTTCTTGCCCTCCCTTCCTCAAGGCCTTTGCTGCTTTCCTGTTGACTTGCAGATAAAACTGGGACTCACGTCACCATTGAATCCTGCCCACCTGCTTATCTGTTGCTGCCTCTTATTTGTATTCACTCCCATCATGGCATTTATTCTCTTGAGGTTTTCCTGTGATTCTGCTTCTCTTGGGCTAGTAGAACTCAGTCATCCCCCACAGTCCAGCAAAAGCCATGTTTATGTAGAACCTGCTCTGTGGGCCTTGGGGGACCCAGAGGACGACCCTGTATCCTACTCTGCCAGGTAGCAATGTGTAATCACCAGACTGTGAGCAAGTTGGGACTGGGTAATTGTATCTCTCTTTTTTAAATTTTATTTATTTATTTGAGAGAGAGAGCATGAACAGGGTGAGGGGCAGAGAGGGAGTGTGTTTCACAAAATGAGAAACACACTCAATGGAATGAACAGCAGGCTCGAAGAAGCAGGGAAATGAATTAATGACCTAGAAGACACAGTAATGGAAAGTAATCAAGCTGGACAAAAGAGAGAAAAAAAGAATTCTGCAAAACAAGAACAGACAGGGAATTCAGTGAGCAGGGAGCCTGATGCAGGGCTTGATCCCAGGACCCTGGGATCATGACCTGAGCCGAAGGCAGACACTTAACCTACTGAGCCACCCAGGTGCCCCAATTGTATCTCTCTTAGTGAGTTTTCCATAAGTGTTCAATGAATTAATAAACTCATTTATTTAATGAAGAATTTATAAATTAGCCTGTCTAATGCTAATTATGTAGGCAGTGAGCTAGTTGTTATTCTGAATATTTTGATGGACACATTGTGTGGATTTTGTAACAGGAGTCCATGCAGGCACTGACTTTGAAAAGCAGAAATCACCTTCCTAAAATGGTAGTTTTAAAAATCCAGAAGCTCTTCTCTCTCTTCTCCTCCCTCTGCCCCTCCACCCGCTCATGCTCTCTCTCTAAAATAAATAAGTAAAATCTTTAAAAAAGAAAAGGGGGCACCTGGGTGGCTCAGTCGGTTAAGTGTCCAGTTCTTGATTATGGCTCAGGTCATGATCTCGGGGTCCTGGGATTGAGCCCTGCATTGGGCTTGGCGTGTAGTCTGCTTGGGATTCTCTCTCTCCCTCTCCCTCTGTACCTCCTCCCACTTGTGCTCTCTATCTCTCTCTAAAATAAATAAATAAAATCTTAGAAAAAAAAATCCAGAGGCTCTTTTCCTCCCAAAGATGACCTTGATCTTGCAAATATTGTGAAAGACTTGGAGAAAAAACTTGGAAATAAAACCCCTGCTCTCCAAATCCTTCCAGTTGGGATCAGCCTCAAAATTTTACAATTCAGGGGTACCTGGTGGCTCAGTCGGTTAACTGTCCAACTCTTAATTTCTGCTCAGGTCATGATCTCAGGGTTGTGAGATGAGCCCCACGTCAAGCTCCATGCTGAGTGTGGAGCCTGCTTAAGATTCTCTCCCTCTCTCTTCCTCCCTCTCAAAAGAAAATTTTTTTTACAACTCAAGGAAATCTTAGACCAACTAGTCTGCTCTTTCCGTATGCCTCTGCCTGTCTCCCTGATGGTATGTTCTTTCATCAAGACATTGACACTGACTGCTGAGTGTCTTCTGAGCAGTTTCTGTTACAAGCACTGTTTCAGGTGCTTGAGATATAAAGCTGAGTAGGTATTAATTACAAGATCGGTTTACCAATTATCCCCTTTCCCCCAGAGGTGACGGAAAGTTCTCCCTGCAGAACACTCTTACTGAGCAGAAGTTGTTGGACAAACAGAGTCAGAACAAAGTGAATCACAGATCCCAAAAGCGTATTTCTTCCAAGATTGGGAAGTTTTCCATTGCCCTTTTCCATACTAGGGTTCTTGTATCTGAAGATGGAGGAATAACTAATAGTAATTAACTAATAAGTAATAAATTAACCAACAGTTAACCATCTCTTAACCTGAGTATTGTATGTTCAGTTTCCACCCTCCTCAGAATCAGAATCCTACTGATAGCGATAAGGAAAACTTGTATTCAGGCCACCAGTGTGGTTGGGCGGGTTGTTCACTGCCCAGGGGCGCTCAGCTGGAAGGGGCTTGGTCTCGGGAATCTAACCCACACTCTGCATGCAGCTGCTCCGAGGGAGAGGTTCCTTGGCTGTTCCATGTAAAGCAGCCATACGAGAAACTTGTATTGAATGTTTAAGCCGCAAGACGCTGTTCCGAATGTCTGACGTATAGTCACTTAGACCCACTACCCTTCCCCTGAGGTTAGTAATATTATTGTTGACATTATTATTATCTCCAATTTTAGCTTGGGCTTTGAGACACAAAGTGATAGCAAGTTGGGGATGCAGTATTCACATACTGGTGGTCTGATTCTAGAGCCTACACCCTTCACTGCACTGTTCTCTTCTCCCTCAAGCACATCCTTTGGCTTCAGAGTCCTCTCCCTGTTTCCGTGTCTGTCATCCCTAGCTCTCAGCTCTCGTTTCTCTTCCTGTGAGACCTTGGAGTCCCATGTGCGTAGTTTTGTCTTCAGAAGTAGCAGAGAGGCAAGATCTAGAATACCAGTTCTGGTGTGAGCTGGAGTCCAGTTCCGCCCGTGTGTCTTGACCTCATCAAGCCTCAGCTTCCTCGTCTGTTAAATAGAAGCCACAGTCCTCATCATCACTGATTGAGAACTTCCTAAAATGCCAGGTACAGTGCCAGGGGAATTGCATGGATTAACTCATTTATTCCCGCCCAATAATCATCTGACTGAAATTCCATTTTTATCTCCTTGTTATAGCTGAGGACAGGCACAGAGGTGTAGGCGATTGGACCAAAGTCACACTAGTGTGACAGAGCTTCGTCACAGGTACGTAGGCGGTACCTTCACGAAACTGTGTGCCAGGTGCTTCATAAGGTCCCCAACATGTGCTTGGTGCTCAGTTAACGCCACCCATGCTGTTTTTGTTGTTTTTAATCATTTGCTATGATTATTGTACCTCGTTAGTTTGAATGACATAATGACAAGGGTTACCTAGCTTATGGGTAAATAAATCTTGCAGTCACAGGTTTTTATTAATTTTTCTTCATCTTCATGATGGAGTCTTTTCAAGGCCCTGCTGTTAACCAGAGTAAATTTGGCAAGATCTCATATCTTTAAAAAAACAGTCATCTGTAAAAAAAAACAAAATAAAAAAGCCCACAGTTTCCCATATAGTCAAATTCACAGAGAGAAAGTAGAGTAGTGGTTACTAGGGGCCGAGGGGCGGGCTGGTGGGGAGCTGTTGTTTTATGGGTACAAGAGTTTTAGTTGAGGATGGTGAAAAAGTTCTGGAGATGGGTGGTGGTGATGATTGCACAGCAGTAGGAATGCACTTAAACTGTATGCTTAAAAATGGTTAAAAGGGTAAATTTTTTTTTTAAAGATTTTATTTATTTGACAGAGAGATAATGAGAGCAGGAACACAATCGGGGGAGTGGGAGAGGGAGAAGCAGGCTTCCTGCCGATCAGGGAGCCCAATGTGGGGGCTCGATCCCAGGACCCTGGGATCACGACCCGAGCTGAAGGCAGACGCTTAACGACTGAGCCACCCAGGTGCCCCTAAAAGGGTAAATTTTATGTTATGTTCATTTTACACAGGAAAACAAGTCATCCATGTAATCTCACACCTTATTGCAAAGATATCCCATTAAGTATGACAGACCATGAGAGAATAATATATTTCAGAGGTTAAAGGGGATTTTCATATGACAGAGCAACATCCTCTAAAGGCTCTGTTGATAGAAACCATTTATGAGGACAGGTTTTACATTAGTGAGTATTACCTGCTCTTCTACAGCTACTAAGAAATAAGATACCCTGAAAGTGTTCCGTGTGCTTGCACCTGCTGATTTAATTCTTAAAACAATCCTATGAAATAGGCACTGTTAATCCCTCCATTTTTACAGATTAAAGAATTGAGGCACAGAGACATTAATAATTTGTCAAAGATTTCACAGCTGATAAGTATCAGTACCATAGACCTAAAACATTTGGCCCCAGCGATTACTCTCTCAACCTGGGTGCTTTACTCTCGATGTCCACGCTCGCTAGAATCAGATTCATACCCTAAAAGCTATAAGGAGAACTTGTGTTAGGGGCACCATGTGTGGTTGAGCAGGTTGTTCATTGTGCAGGGGCTCTCGGCTGAAGGAGTCAGTGGTCTCAGGAATCCAGCTCACACTCTGCTCATCAAGCCCCCTGAGGAAAGGACACCATTTCTATTTGATGTAAAGCGTGAAATATGGGTAGTGATGTTAGCCATATGGGTTAAGGACAGTCTTGGCCAGACTCTGATGGCTTTTTTTTCTCCTTCCCCTTTTGTGCCTTCTCAGGACTCAGCCCTTTCTTAGAAGGACGAGGACAAAATGACCAAGTTCAAGGTGAGTTGGGCTTCCTTTCTAGATTTTAAACCATTGTCTCATTTCTCAGTGATTAAATGCTTTCTTGAAACAATTAAACAGAATAGCAGGCATTTCAAAACCTCTTCTGTGCCAGAGGATCACTGCTTTTTATTTTAGTGTAGTTTAATTTTTGTTGTTTTAATTTACCCTTTTATAATTTCACAAATAAAATAGAAAAGTCAATAGCAGTGAACCCCCCCACTTTACTACTATTTTCCTTATAAAAACTGTTTTCATTTCCCCATGTTTTTTTCCTCATACGCATTCATAACTGTATATTTGTAATAGTTACATAGTTAAAATTTTCAAATTATGCCTTTTCTTTCTTTTTTTTTTTAAGATTTTATTTATTTATTTGATAGAAAGACACAGCGAGAGAGGGGACCCACAAGCAGGGGGAGTGGGAGAGGGAGAAGCAGGCTTCCCGCAGAGCAGGGAGCCCGATGTAGGGCTCGATCCCAGGACCCTGGGATCATGACCTGAGCTGAAGGCAGACGCTTAACGACTGAGCCACCCAGGCACCCCTCAAATTATGTCTTTTCTAATTAACTGATATTATATTCCCTACATTTTTAATGGCTGCATCATATTTCCTTAAATTGATGTACTCTGTTTGTCTCACAACTTTTGCCCCATTCATGGACATTTAGGTAGTTTAGAATTTTTTTTTTTTTAAAGATTTTATTTATTTTTTAACAGAGAAACAGCGAGAGAGGGAACACAAGCAGGGAGAGTGGGAGAGGGAGAAGCAGGCTTCCCGCCGAGCAGGGAGCCCGATGTGCGACTCGATCCCAGGACCCTGGGATTATGACCTGAGCCGAAGGCAGACGCTTAACAACTGAGCCACCCAGGCGCCCTAGAATTTTTTTTTTAAGATTTTATTTATTTGAGAGAGAACGAGCAGGGAGAGGGACAGAGAGAAGGAGAAGCAGGCTCCCTGCTGAGCAGGGAGCCCAGCACGGGCTCGATCCCAGGACCCTGGAATCACCTGAGCCGAAGGCAGACGCTTAACCGACTGAGCCACCCAGGCGTCCCTAGAATTTTTATTATGTTAAAGAACACTGTTGTGATGAGCACCGGGTATTATATGGAAGTGTTGAACCACTAAACCGTACACCTGAAACTAATATTACACTGTATGTTAACTAACTGGAATTTAAATAAAAGCTTAAAAAAAAAAGTAAGACCAGGAAAGTGAAATTATAATAAATTCTGATTTTGATATACTTAAAAAAAAAAGAATATTGCACTAACAGTTTTCCTAACATAACCACTTTCCTCAAAAAGGAATTTGGAGGAGTTTGCTCTTCTTTGTTCGTAATGTTTCAGGAATCTAAATTGAAAAAGTATACTTGATAGGCAGTACCTTGGGGATTTTGTACATAGAACACTCTGATGTGGCCTAGTGCAGCCGGCTATAACTGATGCATCACACAGAGAAAGTATTCTTCCATATTTTCCCATAAGAAAACTAGATTCTTTTTTTTTTTTTTTTTTTTTTTAAGATTTGTTTAGGGCGCCTGGGTGGCTCAGATGGTTAAG